AAATATTTATTTATTGTAATAATTTTCATATATTTTCTGGGTAGTTTAATTCTCACTATTTAGAGACCTAAAATTTTGGGGCATGTTTGTTATTCTATATTATATGGTCGTATTGTATTTTTTGTCCAACATAATTTGATATTTTGATAAATAAAATTTAGACATATAATATGGATGTTTGTTCAAATTTTGAAATGCCCATTTTGTATTCAACATTTTAATGCCTAATTATTTATATAGGCATACATGGTCTCTTTTGTGTTAAAGTGAGAATGAAAATTTTAATTAGAAGCTCATGTGCTATATAAAGCTTAAGCTATAAGTTTATCCATAATTTATTTATTATTGTTATCATTATTATTTGATATCTTGTTTTATGTGAGTATCATATTTTTTGATTATGCTATCCAAGTGGGAGAAAATTAATTTTTTTTTTTTTTTGTAGATTAGCATAATCACTAACTCACATACTATTATCAAATAATAAATTGTGGAATTATGTGGATAAACTTAATTTGTTGATTATGTTCTAAAAGTCCATACGGGTAATAGAATTATCCTATCGATAGTTTTATTACTTGGTAGGACGCTCAAGTCTTGTTGGAGCTTAAGCTTGTTGTCTTTATTCATGTTTCGGCTATTCGTATTATTATTTGACATTTTTTGGTTATATGAGTATCATGTTTTAGATTACGCAGTCCAAGTGGGAGAATATTGTGAATGATTATGAGTGGACTTGCATAATCACTAAACTCATATTATGATCAAATAATATATTTTAGTGTTAAGGATAAAGGTATGTATTTACCATATTGCTAAGGTCTATACGGGCAATTAAATTATCCTATCAATAATTAATTGTTTGGTAGGATGCTTAGACCGGTGAAGGAAGTTTGTTAGATGTCATGAATCGCATAATCTTTAGTACCTTATCGGTGGTGGATTGATGCATTTGGTAGTGATGTTTGATAAATTGTCCTTACCTGTGAAAGAGTTTTATTCTTGCTCAACGGACTCTAGCACACAATGATCATACTAGCTTGGATCATTGGGAAGGTAAATGGAAAATTGTATGATCTTGTTTTACGCGCCTATTGTTGGTTGCCCCTGTCGTTTTCTTTAGCCTTGAGCAATCCTTGTATCTCCGCTATTTTGACGCAAAATGGAACAAGTTATCATTAATGGTATGGATCTCTCCTTATGAATTCGTGGTGTTAGAACTGACATAGCCTTGAGAGTGGATGTGTTTCCTAGCTCCACTAATGTGTTGAGAAACTCTATGACGAGTGGGAGTGTATGGATAACACCTAGGTAGTAGTGTTTCAATTTTAGGATGAGACAGTCACTAAAATTAACTTCATGGAGAACGTTGTTGATAAATGCATATTGGTTGAGACGAATAGCGTGTTGCCTAGTCACTTTGGTATGAGAATCTTAAAAAAAAGCCTATTATGTTCTAGACATGTAGATTCTCCGTGACAATGATAAGTGCATTTTGTGGTCGTCTTAGAGAACCTATATTGTTCTTGTTTCAAACATGTTCAGTATGCATTCTTGTTCTCCTAGTAAGCATTGTTTGTTAAATTGACAAACTCTCAAAGGTGTAATGTCCTTACGGTGAAGTAAGAGAGATAAGATAAAGTTGTCCCGTATGCTTACATCTTTAGCAGCCTGATGTATGTTCAAGTATGCACACGTTTTATTATTGTGTTTGTTGTTGACGCGCAGATTCGGTACTTGAGTGATTGTTGTTATTATTACTAAATTAACTGGGAATGAAGTACCAGATAGTTGTGTATCGGCAAACCAACACTTTTGTTGTAGTTGGATCTTGTGATGTCGATTAATCAGGCCGCTTAAATGATAAAAGGAGGAGCTACTTTGTTGAAAAGTGTCAAATAGACACTTATAGCGTCCTTGACTGTGATGCGGAGTATGTGGCGTATCGTGAAACTATTTGTGTAATGTAATTGTGGAACCTTGTTTCAGCATTAGGAGTAGTTCACTCCATTTCTGGACCAACTGAAACTATATTGTGAAAGTTCCATAATAGTATATTTTTCTTAAAACACCAAGAGCATTGTCCGCTCAAGCATAATGATGGCGTGTTCTATTTTTTTGTAAAGAGAAATTGTAAAAGGCCTCATTGTTATTGAAAATACGCCTATAAACAACATGTTGGCAATTCCACTAAAGGCTTACCTATTATGTGTTTTAAGAACACGCGCCCCACTCAGGACTGTAAGGAGCCTGTAGTTGTATTGAGTTAGTGGGAGTTTACTGCCATTTGTGTGTGACATGCTGTTATTGATAAGGATTGCTTATGCCTCGAATAATACATGTGTATTCATGGATATGTCATTTTATGTGTGATGTTGGGTTGACATACTTATTAGTTGTCCAAGTGACAAGTTGAAAAGAGACATCTGGTTGTTAGTCTCTATCATTGGTTTTGATCCATATATTAAAGTTGTCGTCATGCTTTGATGAATCTCTAGTGCCTGATTATGTACAATGATTGTATCCTATCGATACGTTATTATGCATGATTGTTTTGGGCTTGTGTTTATTATGTGAGATTTTTAGTTGATGCGTATGCTGTGATGAGTGAATGTTCATTCTATGATTATGTCGTCCAAGTGGGAGTCTGTTGGAATATTTTTATATGGACTTCCATAATCATAATAATTCAGTATGTAATTAATTAAAGCATCCTATGGACAACTGTGTTAATGTGAATTAACACGTGCATGTATGTTAAATATCGGTCTATTATGAGATGGACACTTATTTTATTAACTCGTTTGAGGCATTTGAACTCCCTCTATCTCATAATATTTGATCAATCCATTTAGCTCTCTGTGTGAATATTGGAAAAGGCCCCCTAATTGGTTTATATAGGCAGCTGGTGGGGTGTGCTCGTGGGGTATTTGTAGGGGGCTTTAGGCATGTGGCCGAATGAACACAAAGAGGGAGAGACAGGGAGGAGTTCATTCTCCTTTTGCCATTCTTCTTCCTTTTGCAACTTCTCCACCCACTCCGGTTGGCTCATTGGCGGATTCCAATGGTTGACTGGGTGATCGTTGATAAAAAACTCAAAAATAATATAGTTTGTCACTATATTATAATGATATTTAATTATTTAAAATAATATAAATTATAGACGTGTACAAAATTATTGACAAACTATATATTTATCTCTATCATTCATACTTTTTAGCTTTTGTTGTAGTCCAAAAAGGGCTTATAAAGTTTTTTTTTTTTTTTTTTTTTTTTTTTTTTGCTAATAAAGAGAGTAGTCAAAAGCGCTTGTGAGATTGGGCTCGATAAAGTTTGTATATGAATTATGAAGTGAGAAAGTGCAAAATGAGAAATATCAAAATATTAATAATGAAAAAGAATATGTGCCATGTACAAAAATGTTCTCTTTCATTTATCATTACTCTGTGTATAAAATCGAAACAACCATGGCAACGAGATAGTGAAAAGGTGGCGTTACGGAAAAAAATCAGAAGGGTCGACATGAAAAAAAAAAAAAAAAAAAAAAAAAAAAAGAAGATTGAGATTGTCATTCCTTATTGAGATGAAGCAGTTATGATAATTCCATCATTTGAATAGAAAAATAAAAAACGAGACAAATATCTTTTAAAGTGCATAAGTTTTGATTTTTATATTTTATTTTTAATTAATATTTCTTTTAATCAAAATGATATTTATTAAAAATAAATGATAAAAATCTAGACTTATACGAATAAGTTCAACAAATTTTTCATAGAAAAAACTAACCAAAACATTAACTCCCTCTTTTTTTTTCTCTTTTTTTTTTTTTATGAAGAATTAACTCCCTCATTTCCATCACTAGTAAAGCTAACCACGAGGTAAAAATTACACAGTACGACCTTTTTATTATAGTTGAATTAAAATATAGCTTAGTTTTATAAATATCACTTATATGGTTGATTTTTTGAATTATATTTTTCAGCACCTCAAAACTACCCTTCAATTGATTTTGTTGGTAACTAACTTTCATATCTGTCTCATAATTGAATTGCACTTAATTCATTTAGATTTTGAATTAAATTTTAGCACGTTAATACAATACTCTTTTCAAATTTTGCAAATTTAAATTAACAACCTCATTCATCTATAGGATATCACATGTGTATTGCCATTTTCTTTGGCTCCTTGCAATATTTTTTGATGCATTGCCTCCCTAAAAAAAATATTACCATCAAAATTTGTATATTGTCATTAAAAATATTCATATAATTTATATAATGATACAATCTTTACTTTAATGAAATGATCTAACATTTGCAGGAGCGTTGTTTTTGTTTGGTTTAAACATATATGTTTTAAATGTTGTTTTAAGTCTTTTGTTATTAGTTTTTTAATGCTGATTTTGTTCAATATTATTATTACATTAATGAAGTTGTATTGTTATTTTTTTATGTCGTCATTAAGTTAAAAGCCTTGTCTTTATGCTAATGATTTTTATTATTCGAAGTGTTTTTTTTATTATAAAACTGTTCGTTAAACGCTTATGTTGGTAGAGATTTTCAAACATAAGATTATGTAAAAAATTTAAAACTTACAAAATACTTGTCAAGAATACATTTTAAACTAGTTAAGATTTAACGATATTTCAATTCTTATAGTTTTGGGAAATAAATTTTTTAAAAAAGGTAGATATCCCACTAAATGTGGGAAAAAACAGAGCAACATTTTAATTTTGTGAAAAAATAATATTATCATTATAAGGTCAATAAAGTAAGTATATAATATGTTTTAAAAATATTATTACACAATTAGGCCGTGTATGAAATATTTACAAACTTAAGCCATATTTCAATCCCACCATTGTAATTCGGCCATATGTGTAATTAGCACACATTAAAATCGGCTCTATTCCCAAACCAAATGGGGCCCGAAGGAAGGCCCATTAAGTTTCAATATGATAGTCAGGCCCATCATCATCTAAACGACACGAAGAACCCAAATTGTCTGGACCAACCAACGAACCACCAACTCCATCTTCTTCGTCTTCGTCTTCTGAATCTCTCTCTCTCTCTCTAGACCACTGATCTGCGAGAGAGAGAGAGAGAGAGAGAGAGAGAGAGAGAGAGAGAGAGAGAAAATGCAGTCCCGATTCAAAACCCTAGGTCGAACCCTGAAACCGACGGCGGCCATTTCCCCTACCACCACAATTTTGATGCTCTTCTCATCCTCAACGGAGGCCCCATCCACGAGCTCCGAATTCCCGCAAACCCTAGCTGGCCTGCGAGCTCGCCTGGCCGCAGAATCTCCGTCGCTCTCCAACTTCATCAGTGACCTCAAATCCAATAGCCCTTACTCCGTCGAGGTCGGCACCAAGAAGAATCCCCTTCCCAAGCCGAAATGGATGAAGGAGGCCATCCCCGGAGGGCAGAAGTACGTCCAGATTAAGAAGAAGCTCAGGGAATTGAATCTCCACACTGTGTGCGAGGAGGCTCGATGCCCTAATCTCGGCGAGTGCTGGTCCGGAGGCGAGACCGGCACCGCCACCGCCACGATTATGATTCTCGGCGATACTTGCACTCGGGGTTGCAGGCAAGCTGTTTGTTGAAAGTCCTTTTTTTTTTCTCTTTAATTGTATCTTTATTAGACGGTTGTTTTCCGTTTTCTGTTTTTGGCAGGTTTTGCAATGTGAAGACGTCAAGGACTCCGCCGCCGCCCGATCCCAACGAGCCGACCAATGTAGCGGAGGCGATTGCGTCGTGGGGTTTGGATTATGTGGTGATAACCAGTGTGGACAGAGATGATTTGCCGGATCAGGGGAGTGGCCATTTTGCCGAGACGGTGCAGAAGTTGAAGGTGCTGAAACCAAATATGCTCATTGAGGCATTGGGTATGATTTGTTTGCAAAATTGCGTTTTTTTTTTCTGAGTTTGGTGGATTCATGCGCCTTATAATGTCTAAAGCCGAAAGCTTTCATGTGTATTCTTTATTTTGTGTTATAGACATATGCAGACGCACATATACCTAAGTATAGCTTGTGCATTAGGATAGAGATTATGGTACGAAAACAAATTTGATTAATGTCCTCTTGTGTGGTAGGTGTAACTTATCCGCTTTGGTGGTCCATAACGGTAAACTTGTTGGTTTCAAATTTTTATGGAAGTTCTGTCATGGTTTGTGTAGCTTCATCATTAGAAGAGTCAGAGAACGGCTACACATTGCATTTTCACTTCTAAGAGGCCAAATGCTAACGGACTGTTAAATACACGTGTACTGTATGCAACTCTTTGTACGCAGAGATTGGATTAGTCCAACATCAACTCTCCTTGATTAGTTATGTTTATTCCAATGCTGTGGCCATTTCCGATTGTAATCTGGTTTTGCTATTTGGGTTTTGTAGTTCCTGATTTTCGAGGAGACTCTGGTTGTGTGGAGAAGGTTGCAAGTTCTGGACTAGATGTCCTTGCTCACAATATTGAAACAGTTGAGGAACTTCAGAGTTCTGTGCGGGATCGTCGTGCTAATTTTAAGCAGTCTCTTGACGTTCTGATGATGGCTAAAGACTATGCTCCCGCTGGAACACTTACAAAGACTTCAATAATGTTAGGCTGCGGGGAAACACCCGATCAAGTTGTGAAGACAATGGAGAAAGTGCGAGCCGCAGGTGTTGATGTGATGACATTTGGTCAATATATGCGACCTTCCAAGCGCCATATGCCTGTTTCTGAATACATTACACCTGAGGCTTTTGATAAGTATCGTGTTCTTGGAATGGATATGGTATGGTTTTATACTTTTATTTCTTACAATCCCATTTATATTATTTCGTTTGTGGTTTCATGCATGGACATAGTTTTGTTTAATATTTATCAGTGTTCCTTTAATGTAGTCTTTTGGTACCTCTTTTTTATCATTGGAAACGGGATAATCTCTGTCCCCTTTTAACACTCCTTTCTGGCCTTGAAAAAAGTTTCTCTCCCGTTTGCCCTTAACTTGATGTGATCATTTATCTTAGCTCATTATTGGCTAATTAGTCAACTTTCTGTCGAATTCAACTTCCCGTCAAAGCAAAGCTTCACATTCCATATGCTTTTTGTTTCTCATGTGAAAGACTTTGAGCCTGTGTGGCAATGGTCTTTCTTGCTTTGATATATCGAGCTGCCTGCAAATTTATTATGATTGTGTACTATCTACTTCATTGTTCACTAGCTTGACAGATATCTTTTTACTTCTGAGTTCCTTTCAACAATTCTATTATCATCTATTTTTTCCTTCTACTCGTGCAAAAAAAAAAAAAAAAAGAAAAAAAAGAAAAGGATCCAAACAACCTGCGGACTAGGATATGATAGGTCAAACAATTGGTAGGAATGACATTATGCTTGCTGTTCAAAACAAGTTGACCTCAGCCCAAGCCCCAACAGTTAGATTAATCAGGGGCAGGGTACTTTTGCCCTCGCTAATCTGATTTTTTCAAGAGTAGACCAAGGAATCAGATCATTGATCATTTTTCTGACATTGCCAACATAAGTTCACGATCTGTAGGTTCTTATTTGAGCAATTTTCTTTGTACCAATCTTATGTGTAGCACACAATTATGGATTCTCTAATAACGAGTGGTATCATCCCTAGCAAATACGCATAGTCGTAATCTAAGCAAATCTGGCTTTTGGATGCTCGTAATTGTTGGGTGTTTGAAATGGTTGACGTCTAGTCATGGACCATGGTGTTTCTAATTCATCGTCTAGTCATGGACCATGGTGTTTCTAATTCATACTTTTCCAACGTTACTTTACTTTTATGGATATGCATGTCTCGCTTTCGCATGATTCAAGGAATTAGGGTTGCTTTTTACGGAAAAATGACACATCATGCAGTGATGCAAGAGATGATTTGATGATTAATGATAATTATTCTAGCAAGTGCTTTAATTATATCCGCAGTACCTAATAGGGCCACAGGCCACTTGATGAAAATATTGCAATAGTCGTCAAATTGATCTACTGAACATGCTAAGATTCTTGCATTGAAACCATCCCAGCTTTCAAACACATCTATTTGCCTGGGATCGATCATAACCTCTATCTGAGATTAATTCATTGTATTTTGTTGGGTGGAACAGGGATTTAGGTATGTGGCATCTGGTCCCATGGTCAGGTCATCATACAAAGCAGGTGAATTCTACATCAAATCAATGATCGAATCGGATCGATCTGCGTCCTCTTCTCAGCTTTCTGTCTAATAATTGATGGCTTTTTCCGGTTCTTCCTCCTCCACCTTTCTTGTACGTAAATATATATTTTTTCAATTACTTCATAATGGCGCCCCCCTGGCTCTAATATTTGTACAATTAAATTATTAGAAGCTTAAGGTCACACATGGGCTTGTCATTGCACAACTGAGATGTTATTCTTATTATTCTTAATAATTTTTGTGATCTTGTTATTCATCTACTCGATATTAATCGTTCTTCAATGTTGCTTTGTTCACGCTGCTTATTCTCGTGGATCCATGATTAGAGTGAAATGATTTCACTCTATCATTCTTATATTCATCGTATTTAGTTATTGTTAGCCAATTTCACTCAATTCATTAATCTTAGGTTTTTAAAGGTAATTTCACTCTCTCCCGAGCGCTGAACAAAATAGTATGCAAAATCCAGTTAAACAATACCCCTATTAGCCTAACCCAATCAAGCATCCATTAAGCAACTTAATTTTGATTACCCGAATTAATTGGCCTCCCGAACTCAACTAACTCTAGCTGGTGTTTTTCCAATTCCAACATGTGAGAGTAATTCTACCGAGCCTAAATCTATACATTTGTATCTCTAATTCACGAAAACACAAATTAGAGCAATTAACATAGAGAAACACAAATGAATTAAATGGAAATCAAACTAACAATTGATAAAATATTCAAAACATAGTTCAGACAAGGTTACTTTAAGTCCTGGAATAATAATCTAACTCAACACAGAGGAATCCATAACTAAAAACAAAATCTAAAAACTAAAAGGGAAATAAAGGGAGAAAGAAGAACTATGTTGGAAGAATGATCTTCTAAATTTGAATCCATCATCTTCAAGGATCTTCAATGAAATCATGGGATTTGAGCCTCTAAAGTTCCCTCTTCTCTAGGGATTTTGCGCCTCTTTTTCCTCTCTTTCTTTTCAACTTTTCTTTACTAAGCCTTGTCTCATTCCACAAATTGGGCAAGAATCTCCTGAAGGTCTAAAGAAGACTCCGCTTGCTGAGGTTGAGTGGCATATCATGGCTCTGAAAAGTTAGAACTCTCTTCCCAACCTTGATTGTTTGGAGAATGATTCCAACACTAATTGTCATAATCGGCCATGTCGTCCAAAAAATAATAGGCTTCATCCGTCAATAATTGGTAAAAAGAGGTGGTACCATTTCCTCTTTCCACCTAAGTTCGTGTTGCGGTGCTTAACTGTTGAGGAAATTTTGTAGGTGACCTTTTTTCGAGAGGCCATGCTCGAGGACCACAATGAGCAATTCTTTGCAACTCCCCCAAGTACTATAAAACGGCTCTGAGTCTCATTGAGCAACTCTTAATCTTAAGAGGACTAGTCGACGCGACATCTTTAAGTACCTTGCAAAACAAAACACTCAAAAGGAAAAATTAAAACCAAGAAAACAAAATAAAAACTACAGAAACAAGCTAATTAAAAACAAAGAAAGGTAAAACAAAATAAAAATCAATAAAAAGTAAAGAAACACCTAAATTAAAATCGAGCTACTTACACATAATATTAACAACAATCTAAGACTAAATCTACATATCTAAATCTCTAATTCAATGGATTATCAATCTAGTTTGCCAATAGATGCATTTTCCCAAAAGTGTAATTTGTATCATCAAGTGTGATAAAAGATGAGCAAAACCATGTTAAACTTCAAAATGTGCAATCAAAATGGTTGACACCGTCACATGATGCTGTAACATGAGAATGCTAAATTGGTGAGTTTGAACCTATATGGGTTTTTTTATTGTTTGAATTGACATTAATGTCTAAATAAAGAATACAGTTTGAACCAATATTTGGTTACACTATTATAATTATGCATTTTTTTTTAAAAAAATGTGAGTAAAAATGGTTAGTGAAAATCTTTAAGTTAGTTTTGTAAACAGTATTTTAGGTTAGAACCTTAAGAACTTAGAGGATCGGTAAAGTTCTCTTCAACCTTCAATTTTAGGTTCAAATGAACCTTAAGTCCAGGTTCAAACCCAAATTGTCATGTCATGTGATCAAACTGGGTTCAAACCCGCCAAACAAACAGGGGTAAATTTCTGTATTTCTGTTTTGCTCTCTCTTTCTTTTTTTATTTTATTTTTAATTTCATAGGACACGTGGAGAAGCTGTGTAGGAAGAGGTTAAGAAGCTGCTTTTTTCCTACGGATCATATGCTCCAATATCCAATTTTGGCCCCTCTTCAAGTTTGAATTTATTAGAGGTTTCGCTGGCAGTGGTCCAGTGTGTAGAACTGGTTTCCTAATTTGATATGACATATGCAAGCTCTAATCGGACGGCAATGACAAGCCAAAATCATACGCCTCTCCAGGCAAGATCTCTAGCACCTTAAGGTTGTAATAATGATTTCGGTTCTTGCTAGGTTGCTTTTAGGATTTTCGCCAGATGAGCTGCGGGTCCTCTTACCAAACCATCAATTATAACACTACTAACCACTCTAGTACAGTAGACTTGTTCTTTATGAGGTTATATCCGAAGCATTTAATTTTATTCTGCAAATCAGGAACAAGAAGGCTATTTGTAGTTCACAGTTCAGTATTGAGAACCATTATGATGAGAAAAATGGTATTTATCTCCATGATAAATTATCATCGATCTCAAACAAATGGCTACCACTAAGTTTGGTATGATAAATTCTTATCGATCTCAAACAAATGGTTACCACTAAGTTTAGTCTCACTTATCTGTTTAACTGTTTAATAAAACTTATATAAGTAATGAGGTTTTAACTGTATGAGGAGAGTGTTTTTATGTTAATTGTTAAACTCTTATTTTGTTCACAATGATAATGCAACAATGCAATTATAATTTTTCGTATGCAAGTGGCGAGGTTTTAATTGTACGATGATGAATAATAGTGTTTTACGTTAATTATTATGAGAGCGTTTGGTAGATAGATTTACAATTATAATTCTAAATCTGTTTATAGTGATTTTAAATTATAATTCAGAATTAGTGTTTAGTTTAAATGATTTAGAATTTAATGTGATGTTTTAAATTAGAATCACTCATGATTTTAAAACCACACCCTCTTAATTTAAAGTGATTCAAATTCTTAATTTTAAATCATAATTTGAATTTAAAATTATAATTATGATTAAAATCATTTTAATTTAAATTATAGTACCAAACAAACTCTAAACTCTTATCAACATCATTCGTTCACAGTCTCTAAACTCTTATCAACATCATTCGTTCACAGTAATAATGTAACAACGCAACTACATTGGTCACGGACTTGTTGACATTAAAATGTTCTCCCGGTTAGAAGTACTTGTAAATATTAAATAATAAAGGTGTGGTCACACTCAATAATTATGTAGTATTTTCACTTTTTTCTACTAATTAAGAACTGCATGATATTTGGATTAGGTGGATGTTTGTACTTTCCACCATAATTAATTAATACATGTCGCGTCATCTTTATCGGATATTTATTTTTTATATTTATTTTTTATTTTAAATCACGATTTATAATTTTTTACAGTATTTTTTTTTCATAAAAAATAACATAAAATGAGAATAATTTTAAATTATGGTTCTGAATCAATGAATTAAGAGTTTGTTCTTTTTCATTTTTGAGTTAGGGTGACTTAAGTGATGATATTGAGTTGACTTTAAGTTATAACTTGAGTTGAAGTTGTAACTTGAGTTTGTATTTGGATGTGCACATTTGAGTTATGATTTAAATTAAGAATCTTTTTGAGTTTGTGTTTGGATGAGTCAAAACTTAAATTTGTATTTATATGGTATTTTAATAAAAACTCAATGGTGATGAAAAATTTTAATAGAGTATATGGGTGAGATTTTATTCGTTTTTTCGTTATGAATGCATAGAAAAAAAATCATCTCAAAGAATTAAAATGAAAACGTTATGATATTTTTAAGAATAGAAAAAATATTGTTCATTAACTTGAGTTCGAGTTTATGAACTCGAGTTAAAGGGGAAACTTGAACTCGAGTTTAGCCCCAAACTCGAGTTTAAACTCAAGTTCAAACTCAAATTTTACAAAAGAGCATGAACTTGAATAAAATTATAACTCGAGTTCAAATTTTTTTTGAGTTTCGTTGTAAAAGAACAACCCCTCAATGTCCATTTATTTTTGTTTGTTTCACTAGGTTAATTTAATTCAATTCAATTTGAACAGTTAATACAATTTGGTCTCGTTCACTTCGCGGATTCGAGTTGAGATGTGACATTTTATGAGAGCTTTTTACTATAGCAGAGAATTTTGATGTGACATTTTCTGAGAGTTTTTTACTGAGAAACATAAAGCTGAAAACTCGAATCAGTGAAATGAACGAGGCATAAGTTTGAATTATATTCTCCGTTTAAACTGAGTTAAACAGCTCAACTTAAAATTTAGCTCCCCCTTAGTTCAACCTTTCAAATTATTTTTGAACAATAAAAAGTGTCAACTCTCTCTGTTTTTCACACATACTAAACATAAATTTAAATTTTATTTCATATTCAAAGTAAAACTTTAACTGAACATTTAAACGTTAAATCAAACTACAATTTAAATCATATAATTTAAATTTTTATATTAAAATAAAAAATTCAAACTAATAAAATTCCAACTAGAAAACTATACACGGTAACTAGAACATAAGTCGATCAGCAAAAAAAAAAAAAAAGCGAAAAAAAAAAAAAAAAAAAAAAAAAAAAAAAACAGTACAACGTAAGTCGGATTTACCCAAAAAAAAAAAGAAAGTACAATGCAAGCCTGTTCTATCAAAAAGTGTGCCATGTAAGTATAATATTTGGCATTTTTAAAATTGTGACAAAACTTATAACATATAAATTCAGTAAAAATTGATCAAGAAAATAGTTTTTTTTTTCCGCTTTGCTGGAAAATTCTCATATAACTTTTGGGGCCAAAAAAAGAGGCAAGTTCTCATTATACAGTGGATATTTCTAAACGTTAATTCTAACTGAAATGCTATCAACATAAAATAAAACAGTAAATTTCAACCGTAAATTTGTTGTTCTTTAAGAGGACGTTTGGTTGGAGGATTCAAACAATGTGATTTGAATCATTTTTGATTTACGTGAATTTTTTATAAGAGAAAATACTGTAGCGAACTACGAATCATGATTCGAATCAGGGAACAAATTCCTCTACCAAACATCCTCTAAAATAGCTATGTAGAGTCTAGAAACAAGTTTTTACTTTTCAGTCAGTCTCTCTATTTCATGGACAAAAATTTTGCCGAAATTTTCAAAATTTTTGTGGAAATTTTAAATTTTTGAGGATTTTGAAATTTTTTTCCACTATAATATTGATATCAATAAAATATTAAGAAGAGATTAGAAATATCGCTCAAAATATTAATATCGGTATGCATATAGAATAATTGGAGTAGAATATTGGAAAATTTTGAAGAAATTTTGGTTATATCAAAAATGACAATTTTTAAAGTTATTTTTTGTTTTGTTTTGTTTTGTTTTTTTTTAAATTTACTTTATAATATCTATTTTATTGCATTATTTCTTTTGTCATCGAGCAAGGAGAGTGATGAATATTAAAAATGTAAACTGTTATGAGTTTACAATCGATGAATTTGTCTTCTAATTATTGCAACTATTATAAGAGACTTCTAATGTTAATTATTCATATAATCATAATTTTGGAAATCTTTGATAGGTATGAAATTTTGAATTATTCTCATCTGACCATATCACTACCATCTTAGACAAATGATTGTGGGAATTTACAATTTCTAATTCATAAAAATACAGTTAGAAGAAATCAACAAATCTTCATATGACACGTTCATAATTATGTTCGATATTATTTAAATAACATATCATAATATAAATATTATTTAAATCAAGATCTGATCCTGACTATATTTGAGCTTCATAAAACTTCTTTTGATATTAAAAAATATAATATGTATAATTTTTTTTTATGTAAAACTTATTTATTTATGTATATTTTTAATATTGGTGTTATAAAAAAATATTAAAAATATGTTCAAACGTAAATTTCTACTATTTTCGTAAAAGTAAAGTACCGTAAAATTCAAGTACCGATATTTTCATCCTGGTTCTGTTTATAAACCTCAGCTCTGGCCTTGAGTGGTGGCTCATGGTTAATCCAATTCTCAGCAGTACCAAACACCCGACAAACTCACTGTAAAAAGAGAGCAAGCGCAATCCCCAACCCCAAACCCCAAGGCCCCAACTTTCTCGCATCAATATCTCCGCCTCACCACCACCACTCTCCGACATCCATTTTTCTCCCAACTCTTTCATTCCATGACCGTTGGATTCAAAAACATCACCCTCTTTTCCCACCACAAAACCACTCTCTAAAACTGAAAACAACATCCCACATTTCAAAAAACCCAAAACCATGGGATGTTGTCTCAGCACCTCCCACTCCCACACCCACAAAGAAGAACCAACCCACCACCGCCGCGGCCGCAGTGTTCACCAGACGAGTCCTTCGCCGAAGCTCGAACCGCCGCACCCGCCGGTCCCCGTCGTTGAAGAAGAGTCCGTAAAGGAGGTCGTCCTCTCCGAAACCCCCGTGTCGAAACCGGCGACGACGTCGCCGAAGGTACCGATCCCCGAGAAGAGGAAGACCCACTCGCCTGTCAAGCTAGAACCGGAGCCCAAAGAGATCTCGGGGGATTCTCAGGTTTCGGAGTCGTTCGAATGTGAAGTCAGCGAGAGCTTCTCCTACTCCACGACGACGACCGTCACGGAGGTCAGAGACGACGAGGAGGCGATGAGCAAGAAGAGGAGAGATGTGGGTCCCAGAATTACCGCAAGCGGGTCTTCAGCGGTGGTCACTCGACGGAAGCGACCCAACTCCGGCGAGCTCACCGGTCGGAGAGGTAGAGGACACGTGTCGCCGGTGAGTAAGGTTGACCGCTCGTCGGAGAAGAGAAACCGCTTCGAGGCCGGTAAGACCGTTCGCGGGAGGGAATCGGGTCACATGAGGAGTACGCAGCTCAACGGTGGGTACGCGGCCGGAGTCCGGCGAGACGCCGGTGAGGTGTCGGTCCGGCGGTCGAGGTCACCGGCTCCCCGGGCAGCCGGTGGAGTGAGTAGAGGAGGGCTTGCAAGGAACGCGTCGAAGGGGACCGGACGAGCTGGTGGCCGGTCAGTGGGCGAGGTCGGAGAAAATGAAGATAAAAAGAAAGAGGAAGTGAGTAAGGAGGGATGTTCACAACTGGGAAATGAGTCTCTGGAAAATCCTTTGGTTTCATTGGAGTGTTTCATCTTTGTGTAATTTTGGCCTTTTGGTTGTTACACATTTTCTTTTGTGAAGTTCAAATTTTTCCTTGTATAGTATCTTAATTAATCCTTGTCTCTCTTTTCGCTTTCGGCTCTTTTCCCTAAGATTATGTTAATCTATGTAAAATGAACCTTCTAATTGTGTTGATGACTGATGAGTTTTGGACATTCTATCTTTTGTCTGTGGTGTTATTCTTCATCCGTGCTTTGGAAAATCTTGTAAATTTTGTGGTGATTGATTACATTAATGAAGAAACAATCTTTTACTTTTTTGTTTTATCTTTAGAAGAAGAAAAAAAAAAGTTGCATAAAGTTGTTTTTCTTTAAAAAAAAAAAAAAAAAAAAGAATTGTGGCCTTGAGATTGTAATAATATATATGGTCTAGGGATATGTAATGTAATCCTCGAATTGGAATCTCATCTTCTTCTCTTTTTTTGGGTCTTCTTCTCTTTTTTTGGGATGGTGAGAAGTAAAACAGAGACTTGTTTCCTTTTCGTTGGTGTTGGTGTAACAAGACACATTGTCACACCATTGTCTACCAGTAGATGCGAAGTACTACGAGAAACTCTGTACGAAAAAAAAAATCTCTGGTGATTTTACTTTCGTACATTTTGCAGAAAATTGAAATTTGAAAAGTAGAAGGTCCATCTTTTCTACTGAGTCTGTTCCTCTTCTTGCCTTCTTTCATCTTGGGTTTGGTTTAACCAGATTCCATCTCTCGCTCCACTTCATTCTTGGGCCTAAAGAAGGGTGGGGCTAACTCGGGTTTATTGGCCCATTTTTACGGAAATTGTAATAAATAACATATATACGAAACTAACTGAATTTTTATTTTAAGAGTTAGTTATAAATCATAGTTATTAGTTTTTTACGTATTTTTTTTATAAAATATTTAATTTTTAAAAATCAGAATCATAAATTATAATTCTGAATCTATAAACTAAGGCCCGTTCATTTCGTGAATTTGTTTTCAATTCGAGCTGAGATGTGATATTTTCTTCAAGCTTTTCACTGTAGCAGAAAAAGTTAGATGTGACATTTTTTGAGAGTTTTTTTTACTGTAGAAACCTAAAATTGAAAACTCGAATCAGTGAAATCAACGAGGTCTTATGTTTCATAAATTAAATTTACGAAACTAAATTAAGTAAATAATAGATTTTAAAATTATTTAAAATAAATAAAAGTTTATTATGTAAATTATTCATTTATGACTGGTAAAAAATATTTTACGTAATAAATTTTTTTTATTTATGTGAATTTTTTTTTACTAATTATAAAAAGAAATTTTACGTGAATTTTTTTTAACTGTAAATAAAATATTTACACAATAAATTATTATTTACTTTAAATAATTTTAAAATCTACTATTTGTTTCAATTATTTTCTATAAATATGATATTTACTTCATTCTCCCTCATTTTAAAGTATACAATAGAGCCATTTCTAAACCAAACTCAAGCAGCTTTTTTCTTTTCTTTTTGATATTAACACACTTAAGCAACTTGGGTTTGGATTGATTTTGAATCTCTTGATTCGAGTAATTGGGTTCATGGGTTAAACCTCTAGAACCCATAAACCAAACAAACTCATAGTTTATTCCGAAAAAAAAGCTGAGTCATTTTATGGCGTCTTCATAGCACTTGTGTGACTGTGTCGGTTTACAAGTCTATTATAACTTTTACAATTTTAATGTTTGAGGTTCACAAGTATATGGTCCAAATGCGCAAATTATCGTATTTTCTTTAAAACTCACTAGTTTATCGTAATTTACTCGCGCAACTCCACCGTTCGAAGCTCGTTAGTTTCAACGTAAATTGAGAAATTACTGTATTTCTATTACTTACACCCTCAACGTAAAATGAGAAACCACCGTATTTCCAGTACTTATACCGAGAATTCTTCTAGTGACATCAAAAAAGTTCTCGATAATACTTGTTCTACTATACCAACACAAGTGTAGTGATGCATACCGCGATGATAAATAGTACTGCTCCCCAAAATATACAAGACTTCACTCTTTTCTTCTGTAACAAATTGGTTAGTTTGAGATTAAACTGAAGTTTGGGGGACACTAGGATAGGAGGAGACTAATATGTAATCCTCAAGTTTAGGAATGTTCATCCTGCTTAATTCAAAACACTGCCTAATTAGCTAGTCTCCTTTCAAGATAGGCGAGGAGTGGAATGAATGGCCCATCGCATTCAAACTGGTCTAGCCTGGCCTTAATACAATTGGTCTAAAAATAACTACACTAGCCACAAACCACTTTTTGCAGAAACCAGAATTAGGAAGTCTAATTTACAAAAACGGGCTTTCTTTATACCAACGGTAGATCATTTGGAATTAATACCCCTCAAGAAGAAGAAGAAGAAGTGCAAATAATCTCAGACTTCATTCAAAGTCTGTGAAAGAGTGCTAGCCCTTTTCTCTATTCTTGATTGTTTGTTTCATGTTTGGTTTTGGGTTGAATTAGTTGCATTTGGTGAGAGATCCAGACATTGATGATGTTGATCATGAAAAGGCCGCGAGATTCCCTCCGGAGGACACGGTGCTGGCGCAGGATGAGCAATGAATGTCGGGATTTCTTCTCCAGGCATTAAGACTGATACTCCTCTTGCATAAACTGTCATCTGATCAACAAACATATAACACACTCAAGCAAGTTAACAAAATAAGGCCAGAAAGAGAATATTTAATTGAAAAAAAAAAAGAAAAAAGGAATTCTAAAGTAAATACTTTCAGCAGCACAACAATACCAAACTCCAAATGTGAGAAAGTACCGTAAAAGTAAACTAGTGAAGAAAAGATTAAAGAAGAACATGGAAGTCACTAAAAAAATCAAAGAGGACCATGTTGAAGGGTTACTTTTCAAGCATGCAGCTGGGTTGGCCGGTTTCATAATCCACCGCAAAGTCTTTGTGATGATTATTATTATTTTACCAAAGAAAAAAGGTAAAAGCAGTTAATAATCCGCTGTCACACAGGGGATGTGGCTTTTGCTTTATTATTCTTACACTAGAAGATAATAAGACATAGAAAATAAAGTTGAAAATTCCATTGTGAAGATAATAAAGTTGAAAATTTTGCAAGATCACGACTTCTTGTTATGGTGACACATGGCCTATATACGACAGCAAAAGTAGTTAGCATTAAGCCAAGATCATATTCATGAGTCATGAGTTTTACAATAGCGGAATATTGAGATGACAAAATGAGTTGGTTTTGGCCTTTTAAGGTAACAGACTATAGATAATGAATATAAAATAGATGTGGTATACGTTTAATCTAGGGAACATAATGTAGCATTGATATAATAAATTAGTTTCTCGTTGCCACATTGGTCATCTCAGCATGTGCTGAAGTTTGCCAATAGTCAATAACTTGCATCTTACACCACAAGCCTACGCCATCAAAATTCTCACCATTTTGTCTTGACATGTAAATTGTAATAGTATGTGTAACATGTGTTTAATGATTCGGGACAAACCTTGGGATGATCATGCCACATAAAAATTTTTATTTTAGACTACAGGACTTCTAATTTCGAAAAATGTCCAAACAGTATTACAAAAGTTTCTTTGTTTTTCCCTACTTGATAAACAAAAAGATAATGCTACGAGTGTAAAAAATCCTACCAATAAGATATAGTTTTAAGCTTTCAATTTACATAAGATTAAAATTATATTAAGTTTAATAAAATTTGATGGAAATCTACAAGTTCACAATTCTCCTAAATATTGTATCTCTTAGGTAAATCTTGAAAATATTTATGTCTATTTCATAACTTAAGTTGATAATTTAAATTGTGCATGTGAAAGAAAAATATTATAAAAAAAAAATTGAATTTAAACTTTTATAAGAAAAAACATTGTAATAAAAAAACTTTAATTTTGACTTGAATTATGACATTGAATTAAAATTAGAATTCACTTTTTTTTTTTGGGTGCTTATTAATATATCTGGAGATTTTGCTCTATACTGTTTTCTCGTGGATCTTTCTCTTGTTTCTTTATAACCTAATATAAGCCTCATTGATTGCCTATGGCCCTATGACAATTTTGAGCACTGAAGATTCAATTAGTATTCAATTTGGATGAGCTCGGCGCAAATTATGGTTGGAATGTTTCATGACACTTGAGACAAAACCAGATGATGATCATGACGTTTGGTTCTCTCACTAGCCCTAAAGATAATAAAGAACAAAAAGAGAATACTTAGCAACAAACTATTTTGGTTCATACTAATGTGTTGTGTTGCCTTCTAGTGTTTTCAAATGTATATGTGCGGACAAAAAACTGTGGCGAAATTAAATAAAAAGACATGGATATCGAACATGCTTATTTGTCAGACTCATTAACAACACATCCCACGTTAATGAATAGAAAAGACAAAAGCGAAATATTATGAGTATATATATTGTGTGAAGTATAAGTATTATTGTAGCTTTATGGTGTATTGTATTGTCATCTTATGTAGGATAATCAAGGATTATGATTCCGAGATCTTAAAAATCAAATTAGGTTACGTTAAAGTGCCGTTGTAATACACTTTTTAGGGTATAATAATGCCAATGCTATATAATGGTGCCCACTATTGAGAACCTCAAACCACCCCATTCATTATCTTCTATACGGGGATTAGGAATTATTTTAATTAATTTGGTCTTACATGTACTAAGCCACCAAGCTTCAAATTCCAATGCAGTAGGTGACAAGGAAAAAAGAAGAGGAATTAAGAATTATGAACAAAGTGCTTCAAAACTATATACCATATTGTAAAAATTTTTTAAGGAAAAAAAAAAAAAGAAGAATGTCAATTTTGTCAAAACAAGATTTTGGCTATAAATTTTGGATTAGAAACCATATGTAGTTACATTAATAAAGGTTATTATGGATGTTAAAGGCGTATCGGTATTGATAAAAGCCATACACAATGAATGGTCTACCAAGCAAGCAAAGAAAAAGTTTTTCCTTTTCCCATTTCTAATGATACGAGCTAGTTGCTATGGAATCCTGTAGTGTATGGAATGTATATAGAATGATTGGTCTCTTATCGGCCTTTTTGACTGCATGCTAAACTTTTCACTAGTTTTCTGAAACAATCAATTTAAATAGAAATATTGGAAAAAAAACCATAATCATATATTATTCCCGAAATAGAGAGGAGCAGTTTTCTAGTACTATGTGGCTTTGCAGTTTGAATTCTTGCTTATTCAACACATGCAAGTTGAATAGGCTTATAATCATAATTACCCGTGAAAGCAACAAACCGTCGTAAACAGAAAAAGAGAAGCAAAAAAGTTTAAGCTAGTAGTACTAATTAAAGGAACCGTCAAGATCATATTGCAGGGTTTACTCATTGAACTTTGTCTACCACCACATAAAAAACAAATAAATAAAAACCCAAAAAATTAAAAACAAAAAACAAAAAACAAAAAGAAGAAGGAAAATTGATCAAGAGATTAGAGATTATAGAGAGAGCTTACTTTGGGAGATGGATGATCAAGTTTGGCATGATGGCCATAGCCCATATTCTGTCGCTCGAGGTCCAAATTTGGAGGAGAATTAGCTGAGGAGGCCGGTGAAGATGATCTTGACCTGAGAAACTTCTCGAAGATTGCCATCAGAAGAAACATTGATATAAGAATAGCAGTGGCCACAAAGCCAAACGACACCGCATTGACTGAGCTATCCACGTGCCTCCAATACTCCTCTCTCTCTGCATTCTCAGTATTCAAACCCGCCATAACTGCCTGCACTGGAGCTACACCACCACCACCCATTTGCCGTTAAAAAGTCCCTATATATATATATTTATATATGTGTATATATGTTAGTTGTATGTGCTTAAGAATGATCCTCTTCCAAGCTATCTTCTTGGTGGGACATTACCAGCTATGCAAAGGAAACAAAGTGAAAAGAGAGGAGATATATATGTATATATATAACCCCAATTGAGCATTTTCTCTTTCAGTGATGACTTAAAAGAGTTTTTTTTTTTTTTTTTTTTGGTGGCTAAGAGCCTAAGAGAAGTTTATGTTGAGTAGAGGCGATATTTTATTATGACTCGCCTCTTGAAACTTAAGTGGGTGATAGAAAGCAGAGAAATCTAGTAAAAACCAAAGTTTTAGAGAGAGAGAGGGAGAGAGAGAGAGAGAGAGAGAGAGAAGAGAGGGAGAGAGAGATGGCTGGAGGCTGAAAAGAGAGCTCTATTATAATGAAGCTAGCGCATATTGTATTGGCTGAAAACCTATAGCTTTTTTCTCTTTCTTATTTTATTTTTTCTTTCTTAACATATAACTAGTGGTTAAAAAAGGATGAGCCAAGGAAAGAATCCTTTCAATTTTCGTGTTGTCAAACTTTTTCAATTTCGTGTTTTGACGCAACAAAAGGCACGACCCAGATGCCGGAATTATTAACCATGAATTCTCGTTATTATAATTGCCACACTTTTTATAATATTTTCTGTTTGTTTTTTAGTTCTTTTCCTTCACAACTCAGTGAAATCAGCGGATGATTCGCGTTAAACTTGTTAAATGGACGGCTGTGATTCACCGTAATTTCTGATGATGTTATGCATTATTGTATAATGAACGGTCAACGTCGTGGCTGATGACCAAAATTACGTGCACGAGGACCCAACTGCTCATTCGTTTTGTGGCTGTGACCTGTGAATGTGGGCCCAGAGACTGAGGTCAGTTCATGGTCAGAAGTGGGCCAAGAGTCCCGTGCGAGCTTGGGCCCATGTGCCAGCACCTTTTCTTTCGCATTCCCCTGCTCTCTGTCTCTGTCTCTCTCTCTCTCTCCAATGTTGAGTCCTCGGTGTTCATCATCTTTCTCTTCTTTTCATGTTTTTCCTTCTTTCCTTTTCGTTGTCAAATTATTAATATTTTTTTTGATACGTCAATTATTAATATTTCTACACTGTATATAAAACACGCTCAGGCTGCATGATTAACGACATATTCATTTTATTGTTTATAATTTGAGTTTTATTATAATAAATTTTTTTATAAATAATCATATTAAAATTTTTTATTATAATAAAAAAATTTTACATAAAATTACGTATTAATTTAAATTAAAAATTTAAATTAAAGAATTAAATAAATTTTAAATTTTTTTAAAGTCTTATTCATTTAACCGTTTTGAATTTAAAATTTGAGTTTTACTATAGTTAAAAACTCTTATAAAAATTCATATATAATCTTTTTTTACCATTAAAAACTCTTATATAAAACCACTTTTAAATTTAAATTAAAAACTCAATCTACTAAAGTCAAAACTTTCCCCCATTAAAGTTTTTGACCAACTATTTTTTGGTTACTTATTTTATAGTAAGTTGTGGGATTTCTCATGGCTTTCTCGATCCACCACATGTATTTTTTTTTTCTTTAATTAGCTTTGACACAAATTATATTAATTTTGAAATACCGAATGTGCCTCTTACTTGTACAAACACATACGAAACGAAAATAAAACAAAAAAAAAGAGGCAAAACTGAATTCATATACTTTTTTGGTCATTGGAGATAAGGTGGTGATGGGACGGTCCTATATATATATATATATATGACGAATATTTGTCCTAAAAAAATGTACCTTTATACCGCTACTAAAACCATGGTAATATTGTAACACAAAAGGTTACGCAAATAATTGCAATTCACATTTTAAAGGTGGGTCCCTATTGGTGCCATAGTAAGGTACAAACGTCGCACGGGGGTCAATTTGCCAACATGGCATCCGACGTGGAAACGGGAGATGATATGGGCTCAAAGTAGGACCCATGAACTTCATTCCATATCCCTAGCTTCCTATCGTACACCTCAATATGCCCTTTCCACGCATTCAGACAATCCCCGGAGCAGAACAGCTTGTCGTCAACCGCCACCATTTGATTAGGTGGAATGTCAGAGTACTTGAAAAATATAGAAATTGTATTTTTCATTCATACTTTGTGATTAGTCTGTACATGGTTATATAGGTAGAAAATATAATCAGCTATCCTAGAATCACGTCCTAGAATCAAGGCTAACTATTTTGTTCACACTCATCATACAATTGTGGTGTCCCTAAATTAGGAAAGAATTACAAAAGGAGATTACAAGGATCGAAAACAAATCTCAACACTCCCCCTCAAGTTGGAGCATAGATGTCACACATGCCCAACTTGCTCAAAAACTTTGAGAACATTCGGCTTGAAACTGCTTTGGTGAGGATATCAACCAACTGATCTTCTGATCGAATCTTCGGTAACTCCATGATTTTGTCATCCAACTTCTCCTTGATAAAGAATCTGTCTACCTCGACATGTTTTGTACGATCATGTTGAACTGGATTATGAGCAATGTCACATGCCGCTTTATTATCACAAAACAGTTGAATCGGTTGCCTAGATAAATAGCCCAAATCCTGCAAGAGTAATCTTAGCCATAATGCCTCACAAAGTCCTAGTGCCATACCTCTGAACTCAGCTTCTGCACTTGAGCGAGCAACAACATTTTGTTTCTTGCTTCTCCATGTCACAAGATTACCACCTACAAAGGTAAAGTAACCGGAAGTAGATCGCCTATCATCCACGGCACCAGCCCAGTCAGCATCAGTATACACTTCTATGCTTTGATGATCTGAGTTCTTTGTGAACAAAATTCCCTTTCCAGGAGCAGATTTCAGATACCTCAAAATCCGCATAACTGCATTCATATGTTGCTCTCCAGGATTATGCATAAACTGACTGACAATACTTAATGCATAAGCTAGATCTGGTCTTGTATGGGCTAAGTACATCAATCTCCCAACAAGTCTTTGGTATCTTCCTTTATCAGCCAGTACCTGGTTGGGCTCCACACATAACTTTAGGCCTTCTTCCACTGGTGTACCAATTGGTTGGCATCCTGACATTCCGGTTTCTTGTAAAAGATCTAAGGCATATTTCCTTTGGGATAAAAATATTCCTTTATTGGATCGAGATACTTCAATCCCAAGAAAATATTTCAGAGGACCTAGATCTTTCATTTCAAACTCTCTAGACAAGTACTCTTGTAGGGCCTTTCTTTCTTCAGAATCATTTCCTGTAACCACCATGTCATCCACATATACAATGAGTGCAGTGATCTTACCCTGCTGTTTCTTTAGGAATAAAGTATGATCTGAATTGCTTTGATGGTAGCCAAATGCTTTCATAGACTTCGTGAACCTTCCAAACCATGCCCTTAGGGATTGTTTTAACCCATACAACGATATCTTTAGTTTGCACACCTTCCGACTATGCTTCTCGTGTCTCATGCATCCAGGTGGGAGATCCATGTAAACTTCTTCAGATAATTCACCATGCAGAAAAGCATTCTTCACATCAAACTGTTGTAATGGCCAATCCAAGTTTGCAGCTAGAGACAACAGAACACGAACAGTGTTGATTTTGGCTACAGGTGCGAATGTCTCTGTGTAGTCAATCCCATAGGTTTGAGTGTATCCCTTCGCTACTAGCCTCGCTTTAAAGCGTTCAATTGTGCCGTCAGCTTTGTACTTCACAGTGTAAATCCACCGACATCCAACTATTTTCTTTCCTAGTGGAGGATCAACAAGCTCCCAAGTTTCATTCTTTTGTAGGGATTTCATCTCTTCATTCATGGCTGCTTTCCACCTGGGGTCGGTTAAAGCTTCCTGCACACTGTTAGGAATAGATACACTAGACAATTGATTAACAAATGACATATTTGATTCTGACAAACGGTGGTTAGATATGTAATGACTCATGGGATATTTGACTTTACTAGATAGGTCAGGTTCATATGTGGGTCTAGGGATACCTCTGGTGTGACGCTGTGGTAACTGTCGTTTGTATGGCTCAAGAACACCTTCAGGAAGTGATTGGTATGATACGTCGGACAAAGGCAGCTCCACATCTTCAGTTTGTCGAACGAGAATCTCAGATTCAGGCAAACTTGCTTCTTGTGTTACTGGGTGTTCATCACCACTTTGATCCAACGTTATACCACTTAAATCCAATTCACCCATCTCATGGTTCACTGGTCCAGCTTGTGAGTTGTCACCACTATAATCCATTGTTATACCACTTATATCCAAGTTGCTCACATCCTGGTTACCAGACTTTGACGATTCAACTTTATCAGAAATGGGATAATCATACTCTAGAAAGTCGTAATCTAGAGTCTGAATTTCCTTCTGGTACTCCCCCTGAAGTTCAGGCTCGAAAAAATACATTGTGTTTTCATGAAAAACAACATCCATTGTAATAAACATTCGACGTGTGGGAGGATGATAGCATCGATATCCCTTTTGATGAGCAGCATACCCAACAAAAACACATCGCAGCGCTCGAGGAGTTAACTTGTTGCGTTGATGCTTATGGAGGTGTACAAATACTACACAGCCAAAAACATGAGGAGGTAAATTTGATACGGCTGGGGCAACAATTGCTTCTGTGAGAGTTTGGAACGGTGTCCGGAAATCAATAATGCTAGAGGGTACCCGATTGATTAAATAGGCTGCTGAAGTAAGCGCTTCTCCCCAGTAGGATAATGGCATATGGGCGTCTATCAATGAAGCTCGAACAACTTCCAATAAGTGTCGATTTTTCCTCTCAGCAATCCCATTCTGTTGAGGTGTGTTAGAACATGTTGTTTGATGGACTGTCCCCTGTGCTTCCAAATATTGTTGAAATTCAGTACTCTCATATTCTCCACCATTGTCGCTGTGAAGAACTCGAACCTTTGCGTTGTACTGAGTTTCAACCATTTTATGAAACTTTTGAAATAATAAGTTCACTTCCCCTTTGGATTTCATCAAGCACAACCATGTCATCCTAGTACAATCATCAATGAACGTTACAAACCAACGTGATCCTCCCAAAGTAGTGACCTTAGACGGACCCCAAACATCAGAATGTATAATCATAAAAGGAAGTGGACTTTTATTCAAACGTAAGGGAAATGAAGCACGATGGCTTTTTGCTAGTTCACAAACATCACACCGAAAACTAGAAACATCAAATTTTGCAAATAAACTAGGAAACAACTTTTTTAGATATCTAAAGGAAGCATGTCCCATACGCCGATGCCATAACCAAATTTCCTCTTTTTTTTTTGTTTTTTCTCCCCCTCAGAGCTATCCACCGTCAGAGCTTGTTGTAATTTGTCAGAACTTTTGGACACCAAGTCCAAGTAATAGAGCTTTCCCCGCCTAGTACCATAACCAATCGT